TGCTAATCAGAAAATGGCTCCGCGCGGAGGCTGCCCCGCGGATGCTGCTCCGGCCGGACCCGGCGCCCGCAGGCAGGACGCGGCCCAGCCCCCCGGCACCCGCCGCAGCCATGGTACGTGGGCGCCGGGCCTTTCTCTCCCCCTCCCTGGCCCGCTGCCCTGAGACAGCCGGAAAAGGGGGCTGGGGGCTTCCCCCCCTAAAAAGGGCCGGGGTCTGCCCCCCCTCCCGGGCACTGCTGCAGGGCCACATGATGCAAGCCCCGCCTGGGGGGACGGAGGGGGCTCCCCCCAGCCTGCACCCCCAGGTGATAGGAAGGGGGCTGTGGGAGAAAGGGAGGCCGGCCGGCGCTGCAGGCGGGGGGCGGGGCACAGGCCGCGGCCTCTGGACCGGTCCGGGGGGTGGGTTGGTCCCCGCTGGGCAAGGAGCGGAGGCGTTGCAGGGTGGCTCGTGGCTGCTTGAGGCTGCCTGTCCCGCGGGGCTGGGGGCCGCCCGCCTCCTTTGCACCACCCTGGCACCCTCGTCTGGGCTTCTCCTTGCGCCCGCGGGTCCCGTCTGCGAAGCTGTCCCCCTTCCTCCCGTAGAAACCTCCATTTTTCCCGGCCCTCCGTCGGCTGCACGGGTCGGCGGTCCGGCGTCTGGGGGCCGTCTGCCCCGGCTTGGCCGCTGTCACGGTTGCTATCCGATGCACTGGGATGCTGCTTGGTTGTCCAAGCAAGTGAGCTATAGGCAGGCCTGGCTGGGGGGTGACGGTCAACAAGGTGTTTAGACGTTGCTTTGATTTGGGGTCTTGGCTGGAGGTGGTAGCTTTGGAAGGGAAATCTGGAGATGCGGCTTTTGTTTCGGATGACGTACTCCACCCCAAAGCCATGCCTGGCCGTTGCCGTAGGGGGCAGGGTGACGCTGTCCCTGGCTCTGGAAAGATGCACCCGACAGCCCCGCGCCGGCCTGCTGGCATGGCTTCGTTGCAGCTCTGCGCGCAAAGGGCCTGGTGCCCTGAGCAGTTTGCAGGCTTAGGGCTGCGGCGGCCAGATAACTCTTGCAGTCGTCGTCCCCCCACCCCACCCCACCCCGGCGGGGGAAGCCGGCTGTGAGAAAGGCAGTCGGGGTGGGGGCGGCGCGTGTAATCTGTTCGGTTTCATTGTGCAGCCTTGCTCGGCTGATCGAAACAATAAGACGTGTGCAGAGATCAGGGGTGGAAAGTCCCAAGCTAGGGGAGGTCTGGCACCCGGGCTGGCAGAAGAAGCATTTCCAATGGGGTCTTTCAAGGGCTGCATAGGGCACGTTGCCTCTCTGGGGTGGCGGGGGGAAGAGGCCTGTTTCCACAGGGGGAATGGTAAAGGCCTAGAAAATGAGGAAGAAGCTCAGATCTCGGGGAAAGGGCACGCGCTGGTGCCAGGACTGTGTTTATCCTAGTGCAGAGGCCTGAAGCAAAGGCTGCTGTCGTCGTGGCTCGGCACAGGGGGATGGAGTCAGCTGTGTGCTCCTGTCTGCCTGGCAAAAGTCAGGCGCTGCACGGCGATCTCTGCCAGCAAGGCATTTTTCATCATGTGCACGATTCTCTTGTTGTGGGAGAAGAGACGCCTGTGTTAAGGTTGAAACGTTAACTTAACACGGGGGAACATCTGAATCGGTGCCCGCTGCTCTGCTACATGTTGGTCTCGGTGTTTACCATCAGCTTTAAATCATCATCCATCCCTGTGGGTTTCACGGTGGCAGGTTAGGGAGGTTTGGTTTTAAAAAAAAAAAAAGCAACCCGACTTGTCCAGCCCCAGCACAAATCGCCGGCTGTAATGTCCTTTGGATGCAGTGTTTTATTTAAGACCTGTGTATTTAACTCTGCAATCCCTGGTCTGAATGTGCCCACTGCAAAGGGTACGTGCGATTTCTCCGCCTGGCAGATGGAGCATAAAACACCGAATGGCAGGCAGCGGGGTGGGCGGAAAGCTCAGCAGAGCGATCAGCAAAGGGCCTTTCCGCTGGCGTCGCATTTATTTCCTGTATCTCTCGTTCCTTCCTGTTATTACACAGCGAGCGATCACATGAGTCCCCTATTCTGAAGCCTTTGTCTCTTGTCTCTGCACGTTATGATCTGTGTTTCGGGGACTGTTAAGCCTCTGGTGTAGATTCTCCAGCAAAATTACATGCCCCGCTGCTGTAGCCAGTATGTGCAAGCCCTCCGGTTTGGACCAGCGAGCTTGAGCCTTGGAAATTATTAACTGGGTCAGCACTGGTGACTTCTGTTCTGCGTATTAAGTCTGGGAGGTTCCTATAGACGCTCTTTTCCTGAGAGTACCTGTTTCGATTCATGAACGAACCAGCTTGGGCTGCTTTATTCCCTGCGTGTGTTATGCCTAAGGAGTATTTAGAGAAACCGAGTTTTCAGCAACAATGCAGAATATTTGTGGACGGTGAAGTTTGACTGGGCAGTTGGCACTGCCAGAGGCCAAGGGTTACCTCCGCCCTCTGATTGATGTCCTTCGGCGTGGGCAGGCTTCCCCAAGCACGTATAGACCTCGCTAGCTCCGGCATTACCAGCAGCGAAGACCTACTGCGCAAGCTGTAAGGCCCGATGGGGTCCCTTGGTACTTTGTGGAGTTGCTGGCCCATGCTGAAGCCCAAGCTAGCTAGATTAAAGCCAGCAGGGTGGAGTGATCTGTGTTTTAATGGCACTGCCAGCTGTAACATGAACCTGCCCTAGTTATGGGAGCCCGCTGCAGCTCCCTCTGCACCTGGGCACTTCAGGTCGAATATGCTGCCTCCCCCTCCCTGCCCCAATGAAGGCAGACACCCCCTGCTCCCTCCCAGCATCTCGGGGAGCTTAGCTTTTGGGGAAGGGTTGGGGCTGGGTGGGTGCACCCTTGTCCCTCCTGGAGCTGAGGCCAGGTTACATGGCTGTAAAGACCTCTGCAAGGGACCGATACAGGTTGTCCTGGGGAAAGGCCTATTTTGGAGACCGTTTGTGGCAAGTCCCTGCAACAGGGCTGTCCCTGGTCCTCCTGTGCTGATGCATGCATTTCACTGGGGATGTTGCCTTCTCTCTCATTTCATGCACGTGGGTCTGAATGAAATGAATCCGAACACCCTCGGGGATGCTTCGGTGGACCCCAGTGTAGTAGATGTCCCTCGCCATTTCCTCTGCTGATGCTTCAGTGAATTGATGTGGTTTGGAACCACTTCCCTGCCCCCCAATCTGAATTTCCCAGAGACTGGAAACCCCAGTTTCTGACCAGTTCTAGCTGTTCCTGGTGCTATGGCTTGGCACAGCCCACTGAGACACCTATTGACTTTGGCAGGCTTTAGGCCAGGGCATGAGTGATTAAGGAGCCCTTGCATCCCTCGCTCAGGAGTTCTTGCCTCCTTTTTAAACTAGAAAATTTCCCCACAAAGCCCCCCCTCCCCGCGTAGGTTTGACCAAAAACACCTAAATGGCTTGCAAAAGGATTTGTGCTCCCAAATCACTTGGGTGGCAGTGAAAAGCCCATTTCTCACATCAAGGTGGCATGGATAAACCTGAAGATGCCACCTTCCTTCTTTCTGTCCCTTTGTGTGCACTCATCACAATAGAGTCTTTAATTACTTGGTCACGTGCTCTTCTTAAACTATCATGCCATTTTTTTCCCCCTATGCAAGCCAGGGAGATGCCTCTTGAATGAGAATGAATCAGGGTGTCTGGTTTAGTCTAGCACAGGCTAGACATCAGCATAATTTGAAAGCACTCTCATTCGACACATCCTCTCTTGCCACCCTCTTGCTTGTCTTATGACTTGCCCCAAGCATTTCAAGCTGTTTAGGGCCAAAGCTGCGACTAGACCCGTACAGCACCAAGCACAGCTGTGCTTCAGTGGCATCGAGGTTGCTGGATGCTAGTCTGCACAAAATGAGCTCAGGCACTTCGCTGACCCGAGAGAGCCTGCTGGTGGCCTGGTCCTGGTGCAGCCTTATACAAGTGATGGACACTTCTAGGGAGTGAGGCTGATGCTCTAGACTCATCTTTGCTTCCCATGTGTCTGAGTCCCAGCCGGAGGGGCACGAGGCTGAGCCTGACGTGCTCTCGGGATTGTCCAGTGAGGCCTGCACTGGAGGTCTCCACGCCACCCAGCCCCTGCATGCACGCACTTCTGTTTCCTCCAGTCTGGAGGGGAATTTGTTGCAGACGTGGAGGGTGGCCAGCTCGCCCAGGAACCGGGCACGTCCCTTTCCTTTGCTTCTGCAAAGGGCAGGTCATATCACAAAGGAACAGATTTTCAGGTGCTTTGAGCAAATGCCCAGCCTTTCCAGAGGCTGCTTCCATGTCTGGCTGTGGACATGGGGTGGAGCAGGGCTGGGAGCACCCTCCGAGTGGTCCCAGCTTATGCCTGGTTCTGGGTTGCATTTAGCCTGGGCAGGCGTGTTCTCCCAGCACAGCCCCAGCCCCTGCGGGAGAGCCCTGATGCTCCAGTGTAAAGCCTCCCCATCCAGGCAGTGCCTCCAGGGCCTAATTCTCAACTTCTCCCTTTTGAGGCTGCTGGAGAAGGTGCAGGCCAGGCAGAGCGTTACCTGTGCAGCTGGAGGTTGCAGCCCTCAGCACCCCATGGCCGCGCTGTGATCCCATTCTCCCGCAAAGTCGGCATCTCGTGGCCCTCCTTAGCTCAGGGCTGCGGGGTCAGCCTCCGAGGCTCGGCCTTGCGCTGTGATCATGCTCCCACTCTTCATGCCTGTCTTGTCCAGGAGCTCTCAAGGTCTCTCTGCTAGCCACAGGGCTCCAGCACTGGTCCTGGGCCAATACGTGCTCCACCTGGTCCCTAGCGTGGGACCGTTGTGCCGGCCACGTGGAAGGGTTCCTGCTTCCACGCTGCTCTGTGCTTTGTCCTCTGTGTCCTTTATGGGTGTGTATCCCCCTCAGGTGCTATGCGCTGGGCCTGCCCACCCCTCCGTATGGCGCACAGCTTTGGGGAGGAGCAGTGGACCTAGTTCTTTCGGCCACTCAGACTCCTGCCATCCCTTGCGTTCCCTCTTGGCCATGCAGTTGTGCCAGGCCTGGGGCTTTAGGGAGGGGAGGGGAGTGAACTGGACCGTGGCAGGGGCAGTCGCTGGCATGATCTGTCAGCCTTTGGCACTGGCTGGGCTACTTGGAGGCTTGTCGGCCTGTGACGGGAGTAGGTTGGGGGGGCCTTGGCTCATGCTGTACGGGCACGTTCAGCTCCAGCCACCAGCCAACTCCACCCCCAGGAATGTGCAGCGTCAGGTCTGAGATGCAGAGCTGCATCGTGTCCATACCGCCGTGCTGCCCCAGCTTGGCCTGTGGTCAGGTGCCCATTTCACAACCCCCTGCCCTAATTTCAAGCCTGCTGCAGCACAGCCAGCATCCTGGACGGAAGGGGAACAGGCTTCTCTTTGTGTGCCCCGTAGGCCTGGCGCTGAGCGAGCCCCAGGCTCGGCTGAGAATGAAAGAGCCACTGAGTCGCTCTGGAGCGCTCGGTGTCCCAGCGCCACAGGGCTCTGCCTGGCCACGGAGTCCCCGGCATCCCCTGTGAGCCTTGCCCTGAGTAGCAAAGAGCCCCTCTCGTCCCAGCCCCAACCACGGGACAAGCGTAGCCTTGTCTGCATTATCCACGCAGGCAAGTGCCAGCAAAGTGCAAGCACTGATGCATCGGTGTCCCCAAGCAGCCCCCGGGCTGCCCCACGGCAGGACTGCCCGGGCACACGCAGCGGCTGGGGTTCTGCTCCGGCCCCCGGGTCCTGCTGCCTCCTGGTGAATGCTGAGGACCCGCTTGGTTCCTGGCATGAGAGAGGAGTCGTTGCCACAAGCTTCCTCATCTTGTGCCTCCACCAGGTCTGGGCTGAGGCTGTCGGTGCTGCAGTCGGAGCAGGTTACAGCCCAGCCAGGCAGAACGCAGCTGGTTTAACCTGCCTGGCCCCAGTGCCCTGCTGCAGCAGCTCTGCAGCTCTCTGTGTACTAAGCAAGCCCGGGTAGGTCCGGGCCAGCTGCAGTCCGTCCCGCTGGCAGCAAGAGCTGCGCCCAGAGGTGGGCCCGGGGTCTCGGCTACCATGGCAGGAAGCGAGTAACCTCCTGCCGCGCGAGCCTCTCTGGGCAAGGGCTGTGCCCACGTCTTCTCAGTACCCAGCAGGATCAGCAGCCCCGCAGCAGCCTGGGTCTATTCCCTGCCCTGCGCAGGCCTGTGCAGCATCTGCTTCTCCGTCCTCGCTGCAGCAAAAGGATCTTACAATGACTTTTCAAGATGGCCCGTTTCTAATAGGCTTAGACTGGGAAGGCCTGTTCTCCTGCGTGCGTGTGCGCGTGTGTGTGTGTGTGTGTGTGTGTGTGTGTGCGCGTGCGTGCGTGCGTGCGTGCGTGCGAGCACACGCGCATGCGAGATAGCAAGAAGAGTAAGGGAGGCACCGCTCCCACAATGCACTGCTTCATCCTCATCCGTGCTGGCAGGCAGGCAACCGAGCCCTCGGCTGGGTGTCCCCGGCTAACCTGAGTTTCCTGCTGCTGAGCAATGGGGAGGAAGGAGGGGGTAGCAGCAGACGTGGTGAAGCCCCAACCAGGGGCATGTGGGACCCTGAGTCGAGGGACCTTTGAGCGCTGTCCCCAGGAAGGACTGTACCGCCAGGATCCCGGTGCTGGCCCGTGCTCCTGGGATGCCGAGGCTGTTTTGCTGGCTCGTGTGCTGTAGGCTTGCTTGCAGGCTGTGAGGAGCAGGCACTTGGCAGTGAAGGCAGGGCCTGGCGTGGGAGCACCGTAGATGGGCTGGGGGCTGCAAGAGAGGGGACGGGCTCAAAGGAGAACGTCCCCGAGAGAAACGACAGCGAGGGCTGGGAAGCCTTTGGCTTTGGGGCACGGGTCCCTTCTGCCTGCCAGGGACTGGCATTAGCAGGGTGCGTGGATTATGCTATAGCTGCCCATAGCTTCTCGCATCTTCTGAGATGGGGCTCCCAGCCAGAAGGCCCCTGTCCTGATCACCCTCTTCCTACGCGGAGGGGCCTGCTCCCTGCTGCCTGGCGTGCAGCTTGCCCAAGCTGTTGGGGCAACGGGGCCCAGCCCCATGAGGCTCTGCTGAGCCCTGCTCATCCGTCCGATCGCTGGAGCTGCTGCACTGCCGGGTCCTCTGAGACCCCAGCCTTCTGGGACCTGGCTCAGCTCCTGGGCCCAATGGCCCCACGCCCAGGCTGCACAGAGCCCTGTGAGCGCTGCCTGCCTCTGCTCCATCCCCAGCCACATCCTCTTTTCACGCCCCCCCTTCCCACTTTGCTCCCCGCTTCACCTAGCCCCAGCCCCTCCTGGTTCCTCTCCAGCCATGCCAACCTCTCCCCCTGCCTCTTCCTCAGATCCCAGGGACATGTGAAGGGGTCTGGGGGGGAAGGGGTTGGAAAATTGTCCTCTCTGCTCCCCTATGGTCCCACATAAAGGCATCCCAATTTGACAGATGTGATGTCTTCACCCCATGAGTGTTGTCCCCACACGGCTCTTGGGGAGGAGGGCTGTGGCCAGGGGACATCCCAGTGACTTCCCACCCTGCCGCACAGCTAAAGGTCATTGCACTCCTAGGCCTTTCCCCATGCTGCATGTGGAGCAGGCAACACTGAAGTGCAGTGGTGGCTTTGGGAGGGCAGGGTCCCCTCTCGGTGGGGTGGGGGTCCTGTGGTTGATCCTTCCTCCCCCTGCACAGCTGACCTTGCACCCTTGTGTCTGCCTCTAGCATCACCAGGAGAAGACCTCCTCGCCGGTGCCCAGCATGCCCGCCCGCTCCACCACCGCGCTCGCTTACCCTGAGCTCTACCCCAGCCCCATCAAGAGCAAGGTTTTGAAGACCGAGAAGGAGAGAGCATCGCCCACGTTCTCCTTGGGTGGTAAATACCCTTCTGGGGGACCAAGGAAGGGAGGGAGGCTGGAGGCAGCTGGCTTTTTGGGAAGGGGATTTGGGCCAGGAGCTGAGGGCAGGGGTGGTGCTCTTGGTTCTCACAGAGCCCCTTTCACAAGAGCACAATGTGCCACCTGTGTTCGCCCACCAGGCGAGGCAAAATGGGGGGCATTGTTGCCTGGGGCTGTGCCCAGAATGGTGCTGCTGGGGCAGCTCTGCTCCGCTCTCTTCTAAAGTGAACCAGATCTTGGGCCTCAAACCTCATGACAGCCCCTGCCTGAGTGGAGGTAGCAGGCACCCAGCCTTGCTTCCTTGTGCCGCCTGGCACTGTGCAGCTGCTTCCTGCCCCACGGATGTGTGCAAAGCCACCCTGGGCCATGCCACCCCATCTGCCCGTGCTGGTCACCGTCTGGAGCGTTCCTCTCCTCTCCTTGCTCCGACTCCGGCTGTCCCCAAGTGCTTTAATTGACCAGGCTGTGAAGTCTGACAGGTGGCTCCAGCCTCCCACGGAGCCCACGCTGGCCAGAACCCCACAGCCAGGCACCACCTCAGGTCTGGGCCTTGGCATGGCCTCTGGGCTGGAGTTGTCTGCCTTGGGCTCAGGAGGGAGATTGTCAGGAGCTCCAATTTACAACTGGCTGCCCCCCAGTCCGGATCCCTGTGCAGGTAGCGAGTCTCTGCCTGCAATGGGTAGGTTTGAACATGCAGAGGTCCTGGCTGAGACTGTAGCCCTGCTGTGCTGTTGAGAGGACTCAGCCCTTTGACCCCTTGGTCGGCCCTGGAAGATCTCATCTATCCACCCCTCACAAGGCAAAACCTCTGCCAGAGCCAGAACAAGCAAACAGTGGGAGGGGAAACCGAGGCACAGAAAGGG